CATATTCAAGTTAATAATGATATGTATAATGACAATAATAATAACATTAATAACAACAATAATAACCAGACCAAAAATACAATAATAACCCATAACCACAGTAATAATAATAAAAATAATAACAATAATAATAATTATCACCATCATCATCATCATAATAATAATAATGGTAATAACAAAAATAACAAAATCACTCATCATAAACATTCTTGCTACTAGCTACGTGTTTTACATCCTATGAAGTTCAGAAAACCAATATATTTCAGGCCACTTTAAGGATCCACAGAAAGGGAAAGAAAAGGCAAGGATAAATAATATTCCCTGATATATATCACAGATAACAAACAAAATATTTACATTCATCATTTATTCTTAATGAGCTCATCAAAAGGCTGCAAACATTCAGAACATCTTGATTTTTTATACAATTGTAAATACAGAATGTACTCTGCTCTAAATGACACGTACTGAAGGAAAAGCTGTTCTTTGAGAGGAAAGGAAATATCAAAAAACTGAAAATTTGAGCACATTATATATGTAATAAAAATTAATGGATACTCCATTAAACACTTATCCTTAGAAAAGACTTTGCATTATGAAAATTATTTGTAAAAAAAGAAAATGAATGTTACATCACGCCTACCAGGAGCAAACGTAACTGAAAATGTTTTACAGCTTTTTAAATGCTATGCATGTAATATAAACTGTAGAAAACTTTCAAAATAGTCAACATATGGCCATACCTGCATTGCTGGGAGAAACGTTGCTACTTCCATCCAACGAATGTAAAGTTCCCTATTGGGAATGTGTCCTGCTCTTGCTATGCCACCGACTGCTCCCACATCAACGAAAGGGAACCCAAGCATAGCTAGGGTTAGCACCCTCGGAACAAGTGTCTCCAGCCCTTCCCAGGACCCATCGGAGTTACCAAGAGTAAGGAATGTTGGTGCTCCAGGTGGCATGACAGCACCTTCTGTACTGATGGGTGGTGATACTGCACTTACAGAGTCCAAGAAATGTGACAGTATTGCATCTGGACCAGGAATCGGCATGTGATATTCATGGTAGGCTGGAAGATCATGGGAATCTGCAGGCTTCAGATGGAAACGGTCAATGTTATACATCCTTTTCAGTTTTTTGAGTTGCACAGAGAACCAGTGTTTAGCCCTTGGGTTGCTAAAGTCTGTTACAGCAGATGGATAGGTGTCCTCGTAGTTTGTGAGTGCAGGGAGATCTGACTTACGTTGGCGTATCCAGAGGCCTTCCTGAGTCCCTTTATTAAATGTTGGAGCATCAACACTCACAAATGGATGAATAGTCAAAGCCATCTTAAAACCTTTTTCTTCTATTTTCCTGGCCATAGCAACAGGATCTGGAAATCTTTTGGGATCAAATACCAGGTCACCAGGCTGGGACTGCCATGATGGAGGAAGGAGAACATAACCTTTGTATCCATAGGTCAGATTGACAACCTTATCAACATACTGAAGGATAGCATCTTGGGTTAGCAGAGGTTGATCTGGAGACATCCATGGAATCCAGACAGGATGGTCTATTCTTGCTTTGACACGGGCCTTTGCTTCCTCCATTTGTAGATCTTTAGGAGATGAAACATTTACTGACACTGTAACATTTTCTGCTTTAACTTCTGGTTTCCTCACAGCAACATTCTTTACAGGTTGTACATCTGTCTTCTTCTGAGCTAGAGCTTCAGTGTGAAGATGGTAAGTTAAAGCTGAAAGATTTTGGGCTGTACACAGCCAATACTTAAGTACTGGAAACTTATATGAAAGAGAAGGCTGGGGTCGAGACTCCAAGCAAATCTGGCCATCATTTTCATAATTGACAGAAACATGGCCTTTGAAACTATCTGGAAGTGACAAGAGCGAGGAGAATTCAGAAAGCCATGTACGCCTCAGGAGCTGCCCCCAGGAGTCTCTGCCTAATTTGCCTGTGACCATCTGGGTGGGCGGGACATTTGCATTAGTGACAGGATATCCCCCATCTGACATCTCTCCTCCCCCCCACCAAGCTCCTTGATCTCCCCCAACTTTCAGGCAGTCTTTAAGGGTGAAGTCTTCCTTTGCTGCCTCCCACCACACAGAGTAACACTGCACATCATCTACGGATGGCAGTTTTCGTAGCTGAACACGAGCCAGTGCAGTCCAGTCAAGACATACCATGTCACTGTTGAGAAAAAATATATATATAATAAATTACTGCAGACAGTAACCACTGATATTACCCATCACATGCAATCAAAAATAGAAATACTAAGATATGTATCAAATTCAGTTTCTTATATTCATAATAATCTTTTTTTAACCTTCAATGTCCTCAAAAAAGGCAAACAAATATAGATTAATAAAAGTTTTCTTCACACATACTCATACTCCTCCTCTTCTTGTACAAGTCCACCAGGAGTGACCGATTTGTTGTGCTTCTCCAGATAATGAAGGTAATGAGTGCAGTCTTCAGGTATTGAGTTATTGGGCAATAAAGTTCCTAAATGTGCCTTAATGACTGGCTTCCAATCAGGGTTGTATATCTCAAGAATTCTTGGTGCTTCAAAAAATTTGATTTGGCTAAAGATGGATAGCTGAAAACAGAAAATCACACAGAATTAAAATGACACCATATAGTAAGAATAATAAATCGCAGACTTGAATACTAATTTCAAACTTTACAGACAGTCATCCTGTGCCACATATCCAACAATCACCATTTACCCCTCCCACAAAAAATCACTTACCTCCAGCAAATGCAGGTTATAGAAGTATGTTGTGAGTGAAATCCCGGCAACAATAACAATGAAGAGAAACGCAACAAGCACCATGAGACCTAAGTCTGCTCTTGTTTTGGATTTCGGGTTGTCTGGTTTCTGCGCAAGGAGGAAGGGAAATTAATATTTCATACAAAAAGTGCAATGTTAAAAAGGCCTGAGCATCATGAAATTAGAATAATCTCTCCTCTACTTCCAGGTTCACTACTTTGCAATGTGTGAAATAAAATTGCAAAGGGAGGGGTCTACGAACAATTCATTATTATAATCACGAATTTCAGATTATCTAACATTAATATTTTGGAATAAATGAAGGATGTGTTCCTCCCTCCTCTATCTTTCTCTTTCTCTCTCTCATTATATGCCTTGTCTTTCTCCTCTTTTCTCTTTATTCTTTTTTCCCCCCTCTTCCTTTCCCCTTACCTCCTTTTGAGTGCTATCTCTATCCCTCTTCCCTTTCTGCTACTTCCTCTCTACTCACCCCCAGTCATTCCCTTGTATAATATCATCCTTTTATCCCCTTCCTTTCTCTCATCTCTATCTATTATCCCCTCTCCCATTCCCCCATTCTCTTCCCTTCCCTCCATTTCCTCATATCCCTGACTCTTATCCTTTTTCCTCATTTTTCTCTCCTCCCTAACTCACCCCTTCTCCCCTCCCATAACTCCTTTCCCCCCTTTCCCTCTCCTCTACTCTCCTTTCCACAAAAACTCCCCATCTTCCTTCCCTTCCAAAACCCCTCTCAACCTTTTCCTCTCCCACTCTTCCTATTTCCCTTCCACAACCTCTTCTCTTCCCTCTTCTACAATCCCTCTCCCCTTCTCCCTCTCTTCCTCTCCTCCACTCTCCCTTCCAAAACCCCTCTCCCATATCCACTCTTTCTTCCTTCTCCCTCTCTTCTCCTCCCCTCTCCCCACTCCCCCTTCCACAACCCTTCTCTCCCCTCTTTTCTCTCTTCCTCTTCTCTCTCCCTCTCCTGCAATCCCTCTCCCCTCTCTTTCTCTTCTCTTTCCCCTCTCCTTCTCTTCCTCTCCCTCATTCCTCCACTCTCCTCTCTCTCTCTTCCTCTTCAACCTCTCCACTCACCCCCATCCTCTCCCTTATAAGTGACGAGAGGGAATTCTGCGAAGATGCTCTTGATGCTTTGGACTTGTTGTCAGCTTGGGCCCCAATCACACCTCGTTGGGTACTGTAAAGAAAAATTCACAGGGTTAGATTTACGACTGTCGGAGGTTTTGTTTTTGTTTTCAATTTGCACAGGAGTGTGAGAATGGAAATTGGTTGGGGTGGAAAGTGAAAAATGGGGAGGGTGTCCTGTGTGTTTGTGGGTATGTGTGTGCGGGGTGTGGGGGAGGGGGGAGTGAGAATTGTGTGTGTGTGTGTGTGTGTGTGTGTGTGTGTGTGTGTGTGTGTGTGTGTGTTGTGTGTGTGTGTGTGTGTGTGTGTGTGTGTGTGTGTGTGTGTGTGTGTGTGTGTGTGGTGTGTGTGTGTTGTGTTGTGTGTGCGTGTGTGTGTTGCGTGTGTGTGTGAATTGAGTGTGTGTGTGAGATGAGTGTGGTGGTGTGTGAGAATTGAGTGTGTGTGGTGTGTGTGTGTGTGTGTGTGTGTGTGTGTGTGTGTGTGTGTGTGTGTGGTGTGTGTGTTGTGTGTGTGTGTAGTGTGTGTGTGTGTGTGTGTGTGTGTTGTGTGTGTGTGTGTGGTGTGTGTGTGTGTGTGTGTGTGTGATAGATAGATAGATAGATAGAGAGAGAGAGAGAGAGAGAGAGAGAGAGAGAGAGAGAGAGAGAGAGAGAGAGAGAGAGAGAGAGAGAGAGAGAGAGAGAGAGAGAGAGAGAAGAGAGAGAGAGAGAGAGAGAGAGGAGAGAGGAGAGAGAAAGAGAGAGAGAGAGAGAGAGAGAGAGAGAGAGAGAGACGGAGAGAGAGAGAGAGAGAGAGAGAGAGAGAGAGAGAGAGAAGTGAGAGTGAGTGAGTGAGTGAGTGAGTGAGTGGGTGAGTGAGTGAGTAGTGAGGAGAGAGAGAGAGAGAGAGAGAGAGAGAGTGAGAAGAGAGAGAGTGAGAGGAGAGAGATAGAGAGAGAGAGGAGAGAGAAGAGAGAGAGAGAGAGAGAGAGAGAGAGAGAGAGGAGAGGAGAAGAGAGAGAAGAGAGGGAGAAGGAGGAAGAGAGAGAGAGAGTGGTGAGGAAGTGAGTGAGTTGAGTGAGTGAGTGAGTGAGTGGAGT